GTGTTGGAAGAGAATATTGAAAGTGCCATGGGCTGCCAAAAGAACCAATAGATCTGTGTTGGAAGAAGTGCTGCCAGAGTGCTCCTTGGAGGCCAAGATGGCCAAACTTCATCTCTCATACTTCGGACATATTGTCAGGAGGAACCAGTCGCTGGAGAAGGGTATCATGTTTGGTAAGGTGGAGGGTCAGAGAAAAAGAGGAAGACCCCTAGCAAGATGGATTAGCCAAGTGGTAGCACTGATGGACTCAAGTGTGGCAATGGTAGTGAGGTTGGCCCAGGATCAGGTAGGGCAGTGTTTCATTTTGCTGTGTGTAAGGTCACTATGAGTCGGTACCGACTCGATGGCACCTAACAGAAACAACAAGAAGTCAGAAGCTCTGGACTGTCCTGGGAGGTGGCTACTATGATCCCTATTTGTCAGAACAAACACAGAGGCTCAGGCAAAAGGTAGAACAATGCCTGACTAGAACTCCACCTGAAGTTAATCTAATTTCAGCACCTGTGTTCATCACGCTACCACACTGCCTTTCACATGGAGTCCTGGGGTGGCACTGTAGGATAAGCACTGGACCACAAAGTTGGTTTGAACTGCAAGGTTGGTGGTTCAAATTCCTCAGAAACCCTATACAGGGTCATGATGAGTCAGAAACGACTCAACAGTACGTAACAACAGATCTCTAAGAACCCTGGTGGCTTGATGGGTTAAGCATTGGGCTAACCAATAGGCTGGCAGTTGGAACCACTAACCACTTCATGGTAACCACTCGGAAACCCTGTGTAGGGTAACTGAGTCGGAACCAACTCCACGATACTTAACAAAAACAACAAGGGCCTCTCCAACTCCCATTTAAACATTGGTGTTGGTTATGGGCCATGGAGTCGGTTCCGACTCACAGTGACCCTGTACAGGGTTTCTGAGATTGTAAATCTTTACAGGCGCAGAAAGCCTCATCTTTCTCCCACGGAACAGCCAGTAGTTTCGAACTGCTGGCTGTGAGATTAGCAGCCCGATTCGTAACCACTACGCTACCGTTACCAGAGCTCCTTGAATAATAACCATCCTTCACATTTACATATTGTTACATAGCTCACAAAGCACTTTCACAATTCTTCCCTATATTTAACCTTCAAACAATACTGTGACATAGGCAAGGCTAATCCTAGCTCAATGATGAGCAGATGGGTAGATATTTGAATCCCAGTCTTCTGATCCAAATATATTTAATTCCACTAAATCAAGAATTTTTTCAAAGAGGATCTGGTTTGCTTTAGTTACATGAGGCAGGAAAAAATGACTAGAAAGGTCATATACACAGAATCCCAACAACTCAACCATTGAAAAACTAAAATAAACCAAGCAGGATTTTTCTTTTTTCTTGCACTGTTGACAATGATTTTCAAAATGGGTCTTTAAAGGTATACTAAAACCATAAAATACCATCCAACTAATCAAAGATATTTTAATTTTTTAACTACTAAGTATTTTGCATCCTTTGTTGTTGTTGTTGTTGCACTTTGAAAATTAGCTGTGTGTACCTGATACAATGAATGGTAACCCCATGTCCAGCATATTTCCAAGTTTTAACCCTGCTAGATTCTTTCCTCAGAGAAATACATCCTGACTTTTACCTACATTATTAGGACAAGTTCTTTCACTCAATAAAATCTGAGTCCAAGTGTATGCTAAGTTTTGAGTAAGTGGTGAGGGAAAAAACATGTTAATAATCTGTCAATCAGAGATAAAACTTTAAATGTCACTCTTTGAAATGAAGGTTAGTATATGAAGTGGGCCTCAAAGGATAAATGTGCTGGTTCCAATCCATAGCAACCCTGTATAGGATTTCCTAGGGGTGGCTGGTGAGCTTCAACCGCCTACCTTGTGGTTCAAACCAACTTTGCAGTCCCGTGCTTTAACCCACAGCGCCACACCAGGACTCCAAAGGATAAATGTTATTGTTGTGCTGTTAAGTTGGTTCCAGCCCACAGTGACTCTGTATAGGGTTTCTGAAGAGTGACTGGTAAGCTTGAACTACTGACTTTGGGATTCAAACTGACTTTGCAGGCCAGTGCATTCACACACAATGCCACATGTAGGTAAAAATAGGAAAGGAATTTTTAAGTAAAGGGAAGAAACTGAGTGTCTTAGTTATCTTCTGCTACTCTAACAGAAATACCACGAGTGGATGGCTTTAACAAATTAATTTTCTTGCAGTTTAGGAGGCTAAAAGTCCAAATTTAAGGGAAGGTTTTCTTTGTCTACTCTGGAGGAATGTCCTTATCTCTTTTTGATATTTTGCTACTGGACGATTTGCATGTGGCTTGGTATCGCTCTTCCCTCATCTCTGGGTCCTCTGCTTGTTTCATCTCTTACATCTCAAGAGGTCAGCTCAAGATATACTTACTCCAATCCTGTCTCATTGACACAACACAGACAACCCATTCCCAAATGGGACATAGACTGAGAAGTTAGGATTTGCAGCACATATTTGGGGGGACATAATTCAATCGATAACACTAGGAAAATATGAAATCTATATAGAAATTCAGTTGACTAAGACTGCGTGAGCATGAATATTAAAAAATAAAGCCAGATTGAAAACACACTTTGGAAATCTCTGCGATTAAGGAGTTTTGGTTGCTGTAAAAATCATGGCACATGGTAGGAACTCACTGATGATGGTAGAGATGATCAGAGCAGTCCTCGTGGTACATTTACTTGCACACAGGGATGCAGGCAGAGGAATGGGTCTGAGGTAAAAGGCAGAGTGAAGTGTGGACACTAAGTGTGAGACAGTCATCAGGACTCCTAGAGGAGAGCTTGTGCAGTTAGAAACACTGCCAGCAACTGATAGTTACTGAGGACATAGACTGTTTCTACAACAAGAGTGATACAATTCTGGAGAGGGCAAAGCTGCAGGTATAGATCTGGGTATCTTCCAGACATGATAAAGTTCAAGTAGACAGAGCAAAGGAACACATTCTGCATGCAATAAATATTTACTGTCAGACTTTTAGGTGTAAAAGGAAGGAATAGTTTAATCACGTAGCTAATTTTCTTAATTGTGTTAAAAATTAAGAAAATATTTTACCACATGCATAATTGTGGTAAAAACATACATGTTGTTGTTAAGTGCTGTCAAGTCAGTTCCAACTCATAGTGACCCTGTATAGTTTCTGGAGTCCTGGTGTGGTGCTATGGATTAATGCGCCAGACTACAAAACTGTTTGAACTGCAAGGTTAGTGGTTCAAGCTCACCAGCCGCTCCTTGAAAATCCTATACAGGGTTGCTATGGGTCAGAACCGACTCAACAGCACTTAACAACATAGGGTTTCCAAGGAGCACTTGGTGGGTTTGAACTGCCAATCTAGTGGTTAGCAGTCCAATGCTGATCCTACAGTGCCATGACATTTCCAAATTCAACAATTCCTAGGTTATAACTCAGTGGCATGGATTATGTTCATCTTGCTGTTTTGCCTTCACTATCCGTCTCCTAATTACTCCACTACTATTAACAGAAACTCTGCTTCTTAAGCAGTGACTTTCCCTTCACTGGTCCTGTCACCCCTGGGAAACACTAACAAGCCTTGGTCTCTATATACTTGCCTTTGCCACTATTTCTAACCTACATGTTTCATCTAGACTACAAGCTATTGTTGTGGTTAAGTGCTGTCAAGTCAGTTCTGACTCAGAGAAACACTGTATAAAGTTTTCAAGGAGCAGCTGATGGGTTTGAACCACCGACCTTGTGGTTAGTCCTATACTTATCCTACAGCACCAGGACTGCAAGCTATTGTTGTTAAGTGCTGTCGAGTTGGTTCCAACCCATAACAACCCTGTGTAGGGTTTCCAAGGAGCGAACTGGTAGATTTGAACCACCAACCTCAGTTCAAACCGACTTTGCAGTCCAGTGCATTATCCTACAGTGCCACAATTAGGGGTACTCTAAAATTCTTTGGAGTAGCATAATACAGTATTAGATACAATGTTGTTCTGACTCATAGTGATGCTGTATAGGGTTTCCAAGGTTTTAAATCTTTGCTGGAGCAGAAAGTCTCATCTTTCTTCTGTAGAGCAGCTGTCAGGCTCGCAGTCCAGTGCTTATTGTATGGAGCTACCAGACTACATTAGACACAAAACTGACTGACTGTTAATACTAATATATGTGAATACTTGAGTCTATTAACACATACCTCAGAAACCTATAGAGTCGCTTTGAGTTGGAACAGACTCCAGGGCACACAATAAGAACACAAGTTGAATCAATGAGAATGGACCATTTTATGAGAGTCAATGTCTGGCTGATGGTGGTTCTTGCCCATCAGCTATAGGGCTGGAATGACGATTTCAGTTCCCCACATTCAGCCATTTCTCTATGGCCACTGCCAGACTCTGCTCACTGATCATTAAAGTCACTCAAGCAACTCATCTTTCACATTCTATCAAATCTCAAACACAAGGCACAGGTAAACAGGGCAGTCATGCTTTATTGAGATACTCAATTTTATTCAGATTTTAAATCAAAATGCTTTGCAGTAGAGACCACAGCCAGCAGGGGGCGCAGCCTCCCAAACACTTCTTGTTCCACAACCTCAAGACTGAAGTAGAATTTATTCTGTATCTCCTTCAGTCTCCGTGGCTAAAGGGTGATGGATACAGTGACCAAGGAAGTGAACAGAATGGCCAAGGGGTGGCAAGGACAAGGCTCAATCTTAAAGAAGAACCCTAGAGGACCTCAACTTCAACTAGCTGAAGGCCAAGTGTATGTTTCACAACTGTTGGTTACCCCAGTACCAGTCCACCCAATCCAGGAATAAATTAAAGATAGTCTTGTCATCTCAGCTGTTGGCAACAGGCGAGGGTTTTGTGAACTTGGACCTAGTCTGCACCAGCTGCCACCATCACAAGGCAGAGAGCAGAGACTTTAGAACAACCATCTTACTCTGCTGAGTGGGAGGCCCAGGTTTCACCATCCAAAGAGCAGTCCATCAGACGGGCTTCATTTACGCTTCTTCTCCTGTGTGCTGGTGAACCAAGAGTCTAGAAGCTTCTTGCTGTAGTATAACTGCCAGGCATGCACTTGGACCGCCAGCACCAACACCAGATACATGACAGAGACAGCAGAAAACCCAAAGAGGAAGCGGTAGGCCTTGCCATGGCGGTAGAGCTGCTGTGCAGCAGGGAACATCTCCATGCTGCCATAAATCAGGGGGGCAATGGAAAAGAGGCCCATGCTGATCATGGAGAGCACCAGGTAGCTAATGTTGTTGCGTGGAAAGGAGAGAAGTCCCAAGAGAGCAGGCACAATGCTCAGTAAATACGGGTACTCCCACTGATAAGGCATGGCCACCTGGTCATGGGGCAAGAGCCTCAGGTGTCCCACGCTCATCTTGGCAACCAGCAGCAGCCATAAGACCAGATGCACGTAGATCAGCTTCTTGATTTCATACTTGAGGGTCACACTGTGGGGCAGAGCAGAGGGGGAGAAGTACCTTTCATTCAAAAATGTCTGACCACCAACTATTATGGCAGGCAACTACAGTGGACTCTGGAAACATGAATAAAATAGTCTACCTAGAGGCTGGGCACAAGGAACAGGGGAGGGAAAAAATCATGAGGGAAAAAAGTTCTAGTAAACAGGTTCCAAGATATATTGGATCACAGAGAAAGGAGTAAATATTGGATCACAGAGAAAGGAGTAATCAATTCTGCTTGGAATGGGATGTCAGCATACACTATTGAAAGGAGGGTGATGTTTGAGCTAAGCTCAGAGGTATTCCATGCAGGCAAAAAGGCATAAATAAGCGTTTGTTTTAGAAACCAAGAGGCTGGGTGTGGCAAGAACACAAGTATATGGAGGAGAGGGATTGTGGGGTATGAAACTGCAAAGACTATGGAGTGCAGATGAATTAACACTCATAGCTGGGTTTGTTGTTGTTATTAAGTGCCATCGAGGTGGTTTCAACTTGTAGCAACTATGTACAGGATTTGCAAGGAGCAGCTGGTGGGTTTGAATTGCCAACCTTTCAGTTCAAACCGATCTTGCAGCCCAGTGCACCACACCAGATGCTTTAAGGCATCTACGATTATACCCCGGGAGTCCTGGTGTGGCACTGTAGAATAAGCAAGCACTGTATCATGAGGTCAGTTGAACTGTGTAGTCAGCAGTTCAAACCCACCAGCTGCTCCTTGGGCCCTACTCAGAGTCTTTATGAGTCGGAACCCACTTGTCAGTACTTAACAAGAGTATACCCCAGATGGAGACAGTAAAGGCAGCAAGGAAAACAGTTCAGGCTGCCCATACTCTCCAGTTAGAGCACATTTTCTCATCTAAAGGAAGCACATATTTCTTTCAGCCTTCTCGTTCTCTTGGGTCCCAAATGTATCCTCCTCACAACCCAAGGACAGTGTTTCTCTGCTGGATAAGCATAAAAACACTTGCTTGGGCTGTGAAAAGAGCAACGCTATATAGGGTTTCCAAGGCGCAGCTGGTGGGTTTGAACTGCAAACCTTACGGTTAGCAGTCCAGTGCTAATCCTACAGTGTCCCACCAGGAAGCCATGAAAAGTGGGTAGGGGCCTAAGAATGAGAATGAATCGATGGCCCAAAGAGCTTGTCATTCTTCAAAACTCTGGTGAGAAGCGTATGGCGATCACTTTGGAGTGTTTAATGAGTTCATAGGAGGAAGTTAAAAATATCCATTACATAAAATACAGATAAGTAGAAAGACCAAAAAAAAAAAAAATATATATATATAGTCAGTCACCTCTAGACTTTAAGCTCCATGAAGGCAGGGACCATCTTTTTGTTGTTGTTGCTTTTTAATTAAAATTTTTATTGAAGATATGCATACAGAGATCATGTCTGTTTTTGCTCACTAACGTATCTTCACTGTCAAGCTCAACAAAATGTCTGTTGAACAAATAAACGAATGGAAACACAGCTCTTATATAAGGGTAAATAAAAATAAACAAAACTTCTTTTTGAAAGGGAAAAGCTGCTCTCTTTCAAAAAAAGAAAAAGAAGCCCAATGTAACAGCATCCATGCACTAGGCAGACTCAGACTATGTGCTTCGGCCTTATGCTACATCTTTCACACTTATCTAATTTTTTTCCAAAACCTAAACGTAAATACGGTTATTTGCCCCCATCACAGATGAGGAAAATGAAGTTCAATGCGAAATTGGGAGTCTAGGGTGTCCCAGCGGGGTCCGGATCCCTGTGGCTCTAGAGCCCCCCAGCTCAAGGCTGGTCCCACCAAGGCACAGGGCGGAGCTGGCGAGGGGCGACGAGGCTGCCCCGGATTGGCGATAGGCCCGGGACTGTGACCAGAGAAGGGGGCTTGGCAGGTGCGCAGGGGTTGGCTGAGGAGTAAGGCCCTGGGGGCCCGGCGGGCGTTGCTTCCAGGCCCTTGGGGTCCTCGCTTCACTTCATACCTCATCTGGTAGTGCATGGCGACGCGCTCCCGATGCTGAAAGTCGCTGCCGTCTGTGCCGGCAGCGCGCGGACCTGCCCGAGATGCCATTGTCACCGCTCAGTTCCTTGAATGCCCTCACACCGAAGCGTTGCCAGGACCACCACGTTAAGCCACCTGCGACTAATTTAGGCCGCCCCAGCAGCAGTACGGGTGTGAGAGAACTTCCGGCCTCTCTATCTTTGGAGGACCGGCTCTGTGGTCGCTCGCCCTACTCACGTGCCTGGCTCTCTCTAGGCCACACCCCACCCAGTCAGCCCCTCCTCCAGCGGCCCAAGCTCACTACCATTTAGTCCATTCAGAGTCTAGGTGAGTTTGTATAGGGTTTGTTGTTGTTTGTTGTTAAGTGCCCTCCAGTGGGTTCCGACCCATAGCCACCCTGTGTAGGGCTTCGGAGGAGTGGTTGGTGAGCTTGAACTGCCGACTTTGCACTTTGCAGTCTAGCGCATTAACCCACTGCGCCACACGGGGACTCTGTATAGAGTTTATAGAGGCTGTAAATCTTTATGGAAACAAAACACCTCTTCCTCCAGCGGAGTGACTGGTGGTTTGAACTGCTGACCTTCTGGTTATTGGTCCTGTGTTTACTACAGTGCCACCAGGGCTCCTTCTGGAGTTGTGGTTGTTCTTAAAGTAATTTTCAACTGAATGGAGTGAGAAGGAATATTAATCCACAACGTTGGCATCTTTTGCAATCCGCTTGAAATTGGAGCACTTCTAATTTCTTTCTTTCTTTTTAATATGAAGTAAGGTTTAAAGAACAGATCATGCTTTACATTCCACAAATCATATACTTAATTATGATTGGTTCATGACAATGATTGGAATCCCCTACATGTATCATCAGTTAACATTATTTACCTCTATTCACTTTCATTCTTGTATTTCTCTCTGTGTCTTCCATCAGCTTCATCTTACTTCCTGTCCTGGTGTGGTGCTGTAGGATAACCACAAAGTCAGTGTTTCAAACCCACCAGCTGCTCCTTGGAAACCCTATACACGGTTGCTAGGAGTCAGAATCAACTCGATGATGTTTAACAACAACATTTAACCAACAACATCACCCAAGTTAACATGTGCCTACCCTCTAACCTCTGAATAATTTTCTCTTCCTTCCTACCCGTGGTAACCATCACAGAATGTTTCTTTGAGCATGGAAACCTCTTCTTGACTTGTAAAATTCATGGTCTTATACAAAATTTGCCCTTTTATGATTGAATCATTTCATTCAACGTAATATCCTCCATGTTCATTCATGTCGTGAGATGTTTCACAGATTCATCGTTATTCTTCAAGGCTGTGTAGCATTCCATTGTGTACCAAAGTTTGTTTAACCATTCTAATGTTGATGGGCATTTAGGCTTAGGCGGTCTCTATCCATTCTGTTATTCTCTTGTCTCTTGACTAGTGCATTTAAGTCATTTAGATTCAGTGTAATTATCAATAGCTATGAATTGAGAAGATAGCTACCTGGTCAACTTATTGGAAGATACCCATATTTATACCCACTCCAAAAAGAAGTGACCCAATGGAATATGGAAATTGTCTGACAATATCATTGGTATCACATGCAAGTAAAATTTTGCTACAGATAATTCAAAGTCAACTGCAACCGTACATTGATAGGAAGCTGCCAGAGGTTTGTGCCAGATTCGGATGAGGACATAGTACAGGAGACATCATTGCTGATGTCCGATGGATCTTGGCTGAAAGCGGAGGATATCAGAAAGATGTTTACTTGTGCTTTATTGACTATGCAAAGGCTTTCAACTGTGTGGATCATGACAAACTGTGGACAACATTGCAAAGAATGAGTAGTCCAGAACACTTAATTGTGTCCATGAGGAACCTGTACATAGACCAAGAGGCAGTTGTTCACACAGAACAAAGGGACACTGAATGGTTTAAAATCAGGAAAGGTGTGCACCAGTGTTGCATTCTTTCACCATATATATTCAATCTGTATGTTGAGCAAACAATTTGATAGTTGGTTTATATGAATAAGAACGTGATATCAGGATTAGAGGAAGACTCATTAACAGCCTGTGATATGCAGATGATACAACCTTGCTTGCTGAAAGTGAAGAGGACTTAAAATACTTACTGATGAAGATCAAAGACCACAGCCTTCTTTGTGGATTGCATCTCAATGTAAAGAAAACAAAAATCCTCACCACTGGACCAATAAACAGTATCATGATAAATGGAGAAAAGATTGAAGTTGTCGAACACTTCATTTAGCTTGGATCTACCATCAAAACTCATGGAAGCAGCAGTCAAGAAATCAAATGACCTATTGTATTAGGCAAATCTACTGCACGAGACCTCTTTCAAAGTGTTCAAGAGCAAAGATGTCCATTTGAGGACTAAGGTGAGCCTAACCCAAGCCATGGTTTTTTTGATATACTCATATGCATGTGTAAGTAGGACAATGAATAAGGAGACTACAGAAGAATTGATACATTTGAGTTATGGTGTTAAAGAAGAATATTAAAGGTACATGAACTTCCAGAAGAACAAACAAATCTCTGTTGGAAGAGGTACAACCAGACTGCTCCTTAGAAGCCAAGATGGCAAGACTTTGTCTCTCATACTTTGGACATATTATCAGGAGGGTCCAATCCCTGGAGAAGGATGTCATGCTTGATAAGTGGAGGGACAGTGAAAAAGAGGGAGACCCCCAAAAAGATGGATTAGCATAGTGGCAGCAACAATGGGAGATTGGCAGAGGAAAGATGAAAGTAGCAGGAGACATAGGGAGGAATGCAATAGTTAAAATGAACAGAGGTAAATACTGTTAACTGTTGGCACCTGGAGGGGATTGTAACCATGTAATGAAGCAAAGTATATGATTTGTTGAATGTAAAACTAATCTGTTCTATATACATTTACTTAATTCACAATGAAAAATTGGAAAAACCAACTAAACAATGAAAAAGTGAGAGGGAAAAAATATAAACAAAACAACCAGTGCAACTATTGAACACAGGACAAAACTCTGATGGACTCCTGCCAGCCAAAGAGCTCACAAGGTGGTTTGGGAAGGGATATGATGGAGAAGTTCCTGGCTCTAGGTGGAGTTCCTATTGGCCTGTGTGTTGCCTGTGGCCCTCAATCTGGAAGCAGTTCATGGGGACAGTTAATGTTGTGTCTATTAGGACCACAGGACAGCTGGAGGCAGGTTGGCTGATTATGAAGGTTTCTGCAAGACTAATGCTGGCCAGGTGCTCTAGGGGTTCTGTAAGGCTGAAGCCAAGCCTGCCTGAATCCACACACCAAGGTGGTGCAGCTGGTATCTGCCTCACACTGATGTGACTCACAACCACATGGCTCTGAACTCCCAGAGAGCAGGGTCTGCACTGGGGGTAGACAAGGATGGGGGCAGGTCACACCTTTGGTCACCAGGTGAGCATGGGGAAAAAGAAGAAATCGCATATTTCCTATTGACCATGGTGTGAATCTTCTCCACAAGGCCGCTTTCTGTCTCCAAAGCTGCTCCCACAATTTCAAGATGGCCATGCCACGTCTGGCCAGTCAACCATTCTTCAGTCTGTCTCCTCCTTTTGCCACCCCTGCTCAGCATCTCCTCCGAATAAGTCCACTTCTCTAACATTTTCTCTGAAGCTCAGGGTTCCAGGATTATCATCTGTGTCTGTTTCATTTGGTCTCCCGTATCTTTGTTGGAAGGACCTCTGGTAGCATAGTGGGTTACGAGTTGGGCTGTGAACCACAAGGTCAGCAGTTCAAATCTACCAGCCTCTCCATGGGAGAAAGATGAAGCTTTCTGCTTCCATAAAGATTTACAGGCTTGGAAGCCTTATACAGGGCCATTATGAGTCAGAACTGACTCCACAGTACATAACCACCACCACCAATCTTTGTTGTAGGGTGGCTGTGTGGTGCATCTGCCTAGTCCACCATCTTCCACTTTCACTTTCTTGAACTCTAAAATAAAAATGTTGCTGTCCCTACTTTACAAATGGGGAAACTGATGCTTGGAAGGGTTCTGTAATTTTCCACTAACCCACATGATTTATGAAGTCTCAGTTTTTCCCTCCACAGATTATCTGACTGATAACGTGACACACTGACACGTTTGCCTCCTGATACATTCATTGCAAACACAGCATCACTTCTGTGATATTTCTGACAAAAATACACAACCTGAATCTAATTGTGAAGATATTATAAAACCTTATTTGCTATGTAAATTTTCACCTAAAATACAACAATGTATTTTTTAAAGTCAAGAAATTATTTCAAAATAAAAAGTTATATTATCTGAAGAAAGAAAAAGAAAAAGCAAGTTTGTACTGAGCATTAAAAATGCTCCAGGGTACTATGCTAGGATCTGAGGATCCTGAAAATAAAAAGACTCTCCCCTGTCCCCTGAGGGACCACACGCAGTAAGGAAAGACATAGGTCTATGAAGCTGAGGAATAAGGTGATCAGTGCTTTTGAAGCCCAGGAGGCCAAGAAAACAAAAAGGAGACACCAACCTCCCCCTGCAACACACACACACACACACACACACACACACACACACACACACACGCCACTCTGCCCCACCTCCAGAACATTAGGAAAATCTTTCCAAAGTGGTGGCATCTAAACCAAGACCTAAATTCGAGTAGGAATTAACTGGAGTAAAGAGATGAGAATAGAAAGAGTTTTTCAGGTAGAAGGAACTGAAAGTGATTCAGTGTGTAATTACCCAATAAGCAAGGTAAACATGGACTTACTTGGGTTCACTTACTAATCTGTAGTAAGCAATTTCACATTTCCACCACAAACTTCCAGGTATGGCTGGCATCTGTCTCTCTCCCAACCCCACCTTTTTACAGAATCAAAGCCTCTTTTCAAATTTACAGTCCCCCAATGGGCAAGGCCCAGGTGTGGCACTGTGGGTTAATGCGCCAGACTGCAAAGTAGTTTGAACTGCAAAGTTGGCAGTTCAAGCTCACCAGCTGCTCCTCAGAAACCCTATACAGGGTCGCTTTGGGTCGGAACCAACTCAACAGCACTTAACAACAAAAATAGGCAAGGTAAGC